ATACTTAAGTCATATTTTATTATATCGTACTAAAAAGAAATGAATTTAGTAATTTTCAATTTATGAATTTCAGTGGTATAGTTTAAAAAATGTATACCATTTTGATCAGATAATGTATTTGAGGTCAGCTATACACTATATGTATGCAACGTTAAAATTTGGCGTTTTACAAAAATATTGTATGAAAATTGATAAAAGGTTAAAAACTATTAACTCTAGTATTTTTCCGTTAAATTTAAATTATTTTAAGAATATGTTGTGAGTAAAAAGGCTTTAAGTCCAAAATTATTAAAACAACTGAAAATAAAATTAAAATAGAACTACTTACATTTTTTTACTATTTTTTCAGTATCGAGTTCTTGAAATTTGAAGTCTAAATGACACTTTAATATTAAGTATTCGAAATAACAATTAAGTTTATCTTTAATTGTATATCATTGTTGTGTAACAATTACAAATGACAAAGTTCGTTTTAATTTTCTTACATAAAAATTAATTTTCCTTTGTTGGAAAAATATTAACAACAATGTAAGTTTAATAGAAATAATATGAAAATGAAATTTTTAAGATTTAAAAATAAGCACATAAAATGTACTAGACTGTATAAATTAACGCATGTTACAAGAGGAAATAATAAAAAATATAATACATTTTTATACAAATAGTTATACTTTATAAGCAATTAATAAATACTTAACAGACAACAGAAATTTCATATTAATCCCAACTGACAAACATGATTTTTTTAATCAATATTTATTCCATTACATATTAAGTATACTCATTAATTTAATTTAGAGTTCTTTTAAATATTTTAATTGGAATTCATTGAAAATCATTTTTTTTATATAGTCTGAGGCTTTCTGAGAAAAATCCATTAAAAATCACAACTATAACTCCTAAGGAGGTGAAACAAGTTCGAATCCTAGCTGTGTTTGTTTGATACGAATTCTGCCCCCTACTCGTACTCTCAGTGGTAGACGGATCATGGGTTGGAATCCCCTTTCTCTCTTTCAGGCTAACCCTGGCAGGTTTTCGTGATTTTTCTCTCCATGTTGTTTTTATGGTTTCCATCTCCATAAAAAATCTCCATAAGGGCTATTTAATCCCAATGCTTGATCCAAGAGTTTACTTGTCCTTTTAGTTAGGTTCGAAATTACTAGTTATGAGGTTGAACATTGATAGTTGTATACTCAGAATGCTGTTATAAAATATAAAATAAAATAAACAAAATGAGAGATGAATATTTTTTCAATGAATGGAATTTGTAATTTTAACAATTTACCAAAATATATCTCATAAAATTTTTCAGAAAACACTTGTTTTTCAAGGAGGAAAGAAAACAGAAGTTTTGCTGTAAATAAAATTTCAAACAATTGCAAAAACAAGCATTTTTTCTTGCTTACCAGATACTGCATCGAAGAAAATATAAATATAAAAGTTTATATCTTTAGCTCACAAAAGTCTTTAAAAATTAAATACTATTTATTAAAGATTGCAATTAAGATTAAAACATTAAAGAGATACATTAAAGTTTTATAATCTCAAAAATGATTTATAATCTCAAAATATTACAATTAAGATTAAAACATTAAATATTGCATTAAAGAGATGCATTAAAGAGTTATAATCTCAAAAAATGTTTCGAGATAAATATAATTTACTTATATCATATATCTAAATATATTAAATAGATCGAAAAATGTTTAGAGATAAATATATTTTCTTATATTATCTCTAAATAGATAGACAAAATATTTAGAGATAAATAAATTTTCTTACATTATATATCTAAATATATTAAGTAGATAGAAAAAATATTTAGAGATAAATATATTTTCTTATATAATATCTCTAAATGGATAGGCAAAATATTTAGAGATAAGTAAATTTTCTTATATTACATATCTAAATTTATTAAATAGATAGAAAATATATTTTGAGATAAATGCATTTAAATGTATTATAAATAAATATATCAAACTGGTGGGAAAACTATTTACAGATTATAATTTTAAATTAAAATATCATTTATTTCATTAGTTATTGTTGAGATATCGATAGACATAAAAATCAAATAAAGATCATCACTACTTTTTAAAAGTTGTGAAAAAGAAGTTATATTATCGTGACTGTAGTTACTTTTTAAATAAACTCTATTAGTTTGAATCAGATTTGTATTTCATTAAAATTGGATATTTTTGTGTATAAATAATTTAGGTTCTAACAAGTCGAAGGTTAGCTCTGCAGCAGAAGATTCCCCTGTTTGCATCTGAATTCGTGGGTTTTCTTTCTGATTTTACACCGATTTCACAAGAAGAAAATGAAGAATATCTGGTTTGCTCATTAGTTTATTATTAATTAGACACTGAAAAAATTAGTATGGTTAAAATTGCTAAAATGTGGTAAAATTTACCGTGTTTTTTGGGTCTATGAGAACACCAAATAGCTCGGTAGTTTTTACCGACACGTATCGTAATGTTTTTGACAAAATTAACAATAAAAGATGTTTTTATACTATGTGATACAATTTGATAAATGTTGTAATAATTGGTTATTTTATCATGACACTTTAGAGTATGGCATAAAAACCATTTATTCGTTGAATTTACTTTTCAGTCTCGTATTTTTTAGTAAATGTGTAGTGATAAGAACTATAATTTTAAAGATCAATATTTCCGCCAAACTGTTACCATACAAGTGATAATTACCAAATCAATGGTTTAAATACTATATATTTCGGTTTTATTACCAAAATTACGGGGTTGTATTTTACCAGAAATGTCATTATCATTCAATACGGTAATTTTCCAGATTTCTTTTCTCTTCGTATTTTTTTCGTTTAACACTTTTTCTTGAAAATCTTTTAAAGAAAATTTCATTAAGAGCTCAAATAGTATGTTCTACTGAGCATGTGTAGTTTAAGAAAAAAGCCTTTATAGAATATCCTAAGATTAGGATGGATTTATCAGAACCATTTTTAATTTCTGACAAAGGTTTGAAGGAATGGTTTTATGAAAAACTTATTAAAACTCTTTGCGCTAGAATTCTCTAAACGGTAATTTCAAAATTTTGATTTCATCACCCAATGGATAGTTTTCGTGATTTTCTTCATATTAAGTAAGGACAAAACATTCTCCATGAAAAGGAATCTTTTCTTAATGTTTGTCCAAAAGATTTTTTTTTGTCTTCCAGGTTGGGTATCAAAACTAAAAAACTACAAAGTTTATTATTAAAAACCTCACATTCATTATACCAATTGGCTGTGTCCAATAAAATAAAATTATACATTTTTCAGCTAAAATAGCCTATGAAGGAAACATCGAAGTGAACCTGATCTAAAGTTTGGCAATGGTTGATTGATTCGTACAGTTTTCTTTTTTAATGTCAGGCACTGAAATCTTGTTCTTCGCCCCCGAAATGCCGGAACTGTTGCTCGTTTATCGTTATGCGATGGGCACCTGTAAACCAAAATATCGGAAGTGAGCAACATTAACTACGCCACACTGTCTCAGACCCGCTCATAGGGTGGGCCACATCACACAGCAAAAGGCAACACACAGAAAGAAACATCCGTGTCCTGAGTGGGATTCTAACCAGTAACCATTGGCTTTGCACTCAAGCACACTGACCGACTTGCCATCTGGCCGGCTGATTTTTATACTATTTCAGGTTAAAGCAATGTTGGTGCAGAATGTCCCTAGTCATAAATGCAACACCGTATAGAATTTTCTTGCCATCGGGTTAACTTTAGTCGACTTCATGTTTCTCCTCTCCTAATAACGCGCAAATACCACTTAAAAGTTTTCCATGAAAGAGAATTTATCCAAGCCCCAAGAATCCCTTTCTTCTGGGGTAAATTCAAGCTACGAGGCTACGGATTAGAACATTTAAGAGTCGCTCATCGCTATATAAAACCTACGGTTTTGTGGAAAACCATGTTATAATAAATTTAAAAATTCAGTTTTAATGTTATAAATAAACACAATAAAACATCTTAAATATATTTTTTGACTAAAACAAATTGCCTTATTTAAAATTTCAACAGAATTTAGCTTTTTTTTCTTCTTTTTTTTTTTGGACAGAATTTAGCATTTAGTTTTACAACTCAGAATTTTAATTTTATTTTATTTATTTAAATAGTAACAAAAAAAAACACAGTTTTTTTTCTCATTTAGCTTTTATTATAGTGTGGAGTCCAACGAGCCAACGAGATTTTTAAATCCCGCTTTGAAAATTGTAAAAAGTCGCAACCAAATTATTTGTAATTTTCTGAAGTGTCAGCAAATTTGTATCGCAATAATATGCTACCAGAAATATAAACATTATTTGAATATAAAATAATTAGGCTTTTGTCTTTTAGAACTAAAATAGCAGCTAACACAAGACTTTATCCGTTTATTTGAAATTCAAATTTATAACGACTTTTCTCGTAAATGTGTTGTTCCTAGAGTTAAAATTAAATCCGTAATTAGGTTAAAGTAACTTTTTTTTGCTGTTACAGGTATGGCTGAGCAAATTGCCTTTGCAGAAAAAACGTATCAAAATATTGAAGGAAGAGGCTGGTGAAAGCACTGAAGATATTAAAAGCAAGGAAACTAAGATTAAAGGAAAAGGAAACGTTTCACAAAGTTCATAATTTCGATGAAAATAAAAATTTTTATACTTTTATATGTAACGTGTTTCAAAACTGTTTGCGAGAAGTAGTCCATTTTTTACAAAACTAAAATCAGTATGTCCTGCATGCTGTTAAAAGTTAACACAATCTCTACCCTTATTGACTATTGATGGATTTCCAATGGATACGTAACTGAAGCGACGTCACCTTAGACATCTTTGTTTCTCATTCAGTAACTGACTGGTTATAAACATACCATTTTAACTTATAGATTTTTGTCGAATTTCATGTTTGCATCAGCAATAAACAGTAATTAATTTTATTATAGAAAAATAAAATAAAATCTGTTTATGTTTAACCCTTTTATCAAATTTTACTGAGACTAAGCAATTTTTCCCAATTAGAGTATATTTATAATTAAGTTATATTCGAAACGAAGCAAATTGGACTCATATAAAATGAAGACTGTTAAATTATCCATTTAAATAAATCAGCATTATATAAATAGAGGAGAAATGAATAATATATCCACCGGTTCTTTGATATAAAAACCAATGAAAGAAATTGCTTCAAGATAATTATACAACCAGTTAAGTAGTACTATTCATTGTAACCAAATGGAAAAAATAAATTCTTTCACTAGAGTAAAATTGAAAAAGAAGTTCTCTAAAGTTCTTGTTATATATTCCGGTGGAACTATAGGTATGGTACGTAATGAAGAAAATATATACGTTCCTAAAGCAGGCGTTATGGCAGAAAAAGTTAAAGCATACCCCCAACTTTATGATTTGGATGAGGCAAATGAATATCGGGATAAGTACCACAAAGAGAATATACTGGTACTTCCAGACACCGGTGATACTTCTAGAGTTGTTTACGCCATACAAGAATATAATCCTTTGTTAGATTCTTCAAATGTTACCATAGATGATTGGATTAAAATAGCGATGGCTATCAAGGAAGCATATGAAGTTTTTGATGGATTCACTATTTTACATGGAACAGACACCATGGCTTATACAGCTTCTGCTTTGTCTTTTATGTTAGAGAACTTAGGAAAAACAGTTATTATTACGGGTTCTCAAATACCTCTATACGAAGCTAGAAGTGATGGACTCCATAACTTCCTAGGTTCTCTAATAATTGCTGGAAACTATTGTGTTCCTGAAGTGACAATCTTTTTCAACAATAAACTTTTCAGAGGAAACAGAACCAGCAAAGTTAGCACATCTTCGCTTGAGGCCTTTAATTCACCCAATTTATCTCCTCTTGCCAGTATAGGGATTGGTATTCAAGTAGATTGGAAGAATATTTTCTATCACTCAACTATTGAAAAGTTTAAAGTACATCATACGTTAAATCGTAATGTCGGGCTGTTAAGACTCTTCCCGAGCATTACTATTGAAGTAGTCAGAGCTTTTTTAAACCCACCCATTGAAGGAGTTGTGCTACAGACTTATGGTGCTGGAAATGGCCCTTCAAGAAGAAAAGACATTTTGGATGAGCTGGAACTTGCGCATAAAAGAGGTGTGATTATTGTTAATTGTACTCAGTGTCCTTTAGGGCAAGTGGATCCATCCTATGAAACTGGAAGAGCATTAATTGACGCAGGAGTTCTCCCTGGTTCAGATATGACGCCTGAAGCGGCATTGACGAAACTAAGTTATGTCCTGGGCAAAACTGAATGGTCAATGCAAACAAAATGCGATATGATGAGAACTAATTTGCGTGGAGAACTCTCTGTTCACAAGGAAATGAAACTCGAAGATTCGGACGTTGTTACGGCTGTGGTAAAAGCACTAGGCCTTTCCTCATCAAAAGAATTGGATGATTTACGTGACACTCTCTACCCCTCTATTTTATGCCATATTGTGTCTGAGGGCAATCTGGAGAAATTGGATATAATGCGGCAATGTGGTGCTTATCTCTCTGCTTGTGATTATGATTATAGAACTCCTTTGCACATCGCTTGTGAAAATGGTAATGTTGCCATCGTTGAATACTTATTGCAACATGGAGCTAGTGTTCACATGAGAGATCGGGAACACAGAACTCCGTTACTCAGCGCAATAGAAAATGATCACCATGAGATTATTAAACTTCTTATTAGAGCCGGTGGTTATTTAAATTTAAAAAATACAAAAGTGGGCGAAATTATATGTAGCGCCGCCAAAGAAAACAACTTGCGTCGACTTATATCGCTTAGACTGGCCGGAGCAGATTTAAACGAACTCGACGCTACGCAAAGATCAGCTTTACATTATGCTACAGAAATGAACTTCGGGGATATAGTTTGTTTTTTGCTTCAGCATTCAATTGACATCTCTGTGCAGGATTTATACGGAAATACGTGCTATGATATTGCTAAACTATTGAATCATAACAAAATTCAAGAAATGTTAGAGAAACATATTTGCATTTAAAATTAAATTCCATCAAAATAATATTAGCGTATTTACCTCATCAAGGTATTCTTTGAAATTTCATACGTTGCAAAATTTTGTGAAACAAAATTATGTTGTGATTTTTGCTCTGATTAATGGTCATGATAAGCCTCCAAAAGACTTTATCAGTTTGAAGAATTTGAGTTGTCAATGTAATTTTACTGATGAAATATATCAGATAGTTATCAATAAGTTTTAATGTTATTTTGTGTTCTATAAAACTAGTAAAACACCTTGTGATGTGCTTATTTTTGTTTTTTTATACATTAAAGAACATTTTTTTCAGTTTATAACCCAAAAATAAAAATTAATAATAGGAGCATAATAAATAGGAGGAATATATATTTAATAAATAGGAGTTATTAATCCATGCTCGGATATATATTTAATAATAGGAGGAATATTTAATAAATAAGAGGTATTAATCCATGCTCGGATATATATTTAATAATAGGAGGAATATTTAATAAATAGGGGGAAATGAATAAATTAAACCTTCAAGTTTATTTAAAAGATTATAAGAAAATTAAACGACTGAAACTTATATTTTAATAAAAATTTAAGTTTTTAGTCGGAATTACAGTGGTCGGTGCCGATGGACAACGCATTCTACTTGGAAATTATTTTTTGTTGCGGAAGGAAACCATTTAACATGTGCTGTTTTCAGACATTGCTCTGTAGTTGAAATTTTATAAGTTTAGCTATTAGGAAAGTAGTCTAAATTTCTATTGACGTTGATTTATATTTAGTAATAATATGACTTCTTCGATTCTGCTTCGAGTCACTGCCAGGAAATGATTGAAATTTATATTATCATAGAGCACGAAAATACATTTAAAATTTGAGCATTCTAACTAGCTGGAAATAAATCGTCACGTAATATCGAATAATGACGTTACGTAAAAATTATGAATTGAAAAATCAACTGTTAAAGGATTAAAGGTCGATAAACTTTTCTAAGGTTGAAAAAATTTGGAATTGGCTCCAAGAGACCGTTCCGAAGAAAAGACCCATTGATACACTAAGACACTAAGTATAAGGCGCAAAGAGCAATTAGGAGGGGTTAATCCTGGAAAAAAATTGGAATTTACAAAATCCCCAATAAAATACAACACAAAGTCAAAAACTACTATTAATTCAAATGAGCAGATAAATTCAATATCTTGAAAAGATAGGTATAGATGAATATAGATTTGTGGAAAAAATTCAAACTTCGTCGCTATGGAAACATCATAACAAAAAATCTTCTGATCCTAATCATAGCGACATTCATTTTAAATCACAAAGGAAGATGGTTACAACGTTTTAAGTTTTAATATGGCTATTGTGTTGGTTTGCATTTAATTACGCTCTGCTGCACTCGAAGAGAAAAAATTACTTTATTAGAGCAGTAACTAGAAAAATGTCTTCCCAAAACTTTTCTCGCCTTGAAAAGGTAATATTTTATTTGTTTACCTTAAACGAAAATTCGTGTTATTTTTATTTTGACTGATTTTCATAAAATGTTTCGTTATTGAAGGTTACCTTATCTTAACGCATTTGTACTAAGCGTCTCTTTAAAAGGAAGAAGTGGTGGTAACAAAAGTGTTTCATCATTAGAACTTATTTTACGGATACAAGATAGTTCTGTCCCCCAATATACTGTTAACATAAATATTTATATTTGAATCTGAAGTCAATGCACAGAGTTTTATTTTTATCCCAAAAACGAAATGGTAGCTAAGCTAACAGATAATATCAATTTCATCTAAAAAAACTATGTAGCAATACTTTTTCATATAAGATTTCTTGGGTAGATTATACTTGAGGGTGCCCTCGCCAAGTTGTGATCGCGATTGATCGCCAAGCTGGGCGATTTTGAAAACCAATCGTGATTCTGATTGGTTTAGATTTTAATCGTGATTCTGATTAGTTTAGAATTTAGCGCTGTTTTTAAATGAATTTTTTAATGTAATTTCAGAGATCCATTAGTTCAACTTTGGATACCGGCTGGTAAGGTTATTTTTGCCTCTGGTACTAAAAATGAATACTGTCAATAAGATAAATCTTAAGTTTCTGTACGATTTTAATAACAATGAAAAAAAACAGTGATTGACAGGTGTATGAATGAAGGTTTAATTAGTAATAGATATAAATGTCCTGTTTGTGGGTTACCACGGCGTTCCGGGCAAACAAGTATGGCGCCAAACATAAGTCACCAATTTCGCCAAGGGGCACCCTCAAGTATATTTTTCCCAA